AAATTTGTTGATCAATGTGTTCCTATAGATGTTCAATAGGATAAAAATCAGGACTTTGAAAAGGCCATTCCATTAATCAAAATTTTTTGGTCTTTGCAAGGGTTGAAATGTATTTTGGGTCATTGTCCCGCTGAAATATACACCCTCCATTTTGTTATTAGCATGTGGTAGCATAACATCGTTAATAATATTTTTGTGCATATTTTTGTTTATTATGCCATCAATCAAATGGACGGGACCAACACAATCTCTATTGAAGCAACCCCAGACTATAGCGTTTCCACCCCAATGCTTTACTGTTAGTAGCTGGTATTTAGGATTGTTATTACGGCCTTTTGGTTGGTGAATATATCTAATACCATCAGACCCAAATAACATAAACTTAGTTTCATTACTAAAAAGTACTTTTGACCATTGTTCACTTGACCAATTTAAATGTTCATTAGCAAATCTGAAGCGCACTTTTCAAATTCTTTATAGAAATAAAAGGTTTTGTGGGAGGTCTTTCAAATAGATTTGCAGACTTCAAATGATGCTTGGTTGTGTCAACACTACGTTTTACATTATAATATTTTTTCATTTCTGCATTTAACATAACAGCATTTTATAGTTAAAAACTAGTCAAAGGAGTGACACCAAATAAAATAAACAAAAAATAAAATCAACAACAACAATATTATTAAATAATACAAAACATAAATTAACATAATTAAAAAACAAAAAAGATGAAAATATAAAATACACCTAATAATCTTAATAATACAGTTAAAATAGTATGTGATAATTATATGTAATAACACAATATATAATAACAATGATAGAGTTTACATAACAATAACAGTTATACACTAGAAAATAATGTTAAAAAATAATATAAATATAACAAAACAATTATAATAATAAACAATTAAAATCAAGCAATAATATTATGACCATTATCATCAAATACAAAACCTCATCATCAGATACAAAAAATCACACAAACAAAAACATAACACAAAGTAAGCAACATTTTATTGAATAATGTATAAATGATTATATTATATAACAATATTGAAATGAAAGAGAGTTTTAGGAAGAGAGAATAAAAGAAAATTAAAAACATATCACAAATAGTATTAAAATAAGTATCATTTTATATAATAATTATGATAATTATACTGAAACTAAAACAAACCAAAAAATTACAATATTACGACACAATAGAATGCAGAAGAAAAAAAAAAAAAAAACCAAGAAATAATAAAAGAATAATAACAACAAACAATAACACAATACAACAAAGAATCTTCCTTATTTTACAAATATAGTTTAATCATTTATATAAAATGTAAGTTTTTTTTCTTTCTTTGTCTTCTTATATTTACTTTTATTCTTTTTCTTTTTTATTAGATTTTTAGTTTTTTTTTCTTACTCGGTTTTTTTCCTCATTTCCTTAATACCTTTTTCTTTTACTTTCTTTTTTTTTTCAAGTTTTTTTCATTTCCTTGTTTTTCTTTACCTCTTTTTTTGCATGGATCATTTTTTGTGGCATGAATTAAAATTTTATCTTGTCTTTCAGATGTAATTTGAGGCCTTCCTAACTTTAGAGAGATTCTATTGTTATTTCTTTCCTTATATCTATTATATCCGCTACTGTTGACTTTCCTATATTAAACTGATCCGGTATGTCTCTTAAGGTTTTTTGATATGTAGAGAATGTCTAAATTCGTAATTGTTGGTTATTTTTATATAAAGAATGATAAATTTTTAAATTGTTAATTTTTTTTTACATAACAAATCTTAAGAGTGTTAAACTTTTGTTTGAACTTGGACATGAGTAAACTTAATAACTGTAATTAAAAATGTTTGGAAAGAATATATAATTGATGTCATCAAAAGAGTCAATATAAAATCAATGTTTAAAAAAAATATATATAGAAGAATGCTTAAAAGAACCAGCAATTGCTGTAGCATCAACAATATCTTTTTTCAAAAAATAAACAAATCTGTTTAAAGCTGTACTTTCAAGAATGATTGCAAAAGATGGTGTTCCTTTCAATAAATTTTGTACATCTGAAGATTTAAAGATGCTATTGAAAGCAAAAAGCTACAAAGAGATTCCAAATTGCCCAAAACCATTAAAAAAAGTAATGAATTATGCTGATAAAATTAGAAAAGTAGTTGTAAATGAAATTTTACAGAATAAGCTAAATAAAAAAGTGTTTAGTCTTACCACAGATGAATGGACATCCACTTAAAACTGCCAGTATGTAAATATTATTATTCATGGAAATTACAGCAATTTTTGGAATCTTGAATTGAGTTGGATTTAAGGATCTTCTCTTGCTGAGGTATGCACAGAACTAATTGAAAAGTAGCTAAAAGATTTTAATATAGCTTTGTCAAATATTGTCTACATATTATCAGACAGAGTTGCCATTAATAAGAGAACAGTAAAGTTATTTAATAAAAACCATCAGTTATGTTTCGTACATGGCTTACAATTGAAGACCAAGAAGCAACCAAGAATACCTATCTTGTTGTACAAAACGCAGAAGTGAATTCTTTAATTACAAAAATTCAGGAAGTGGTAAGAACTTTCAGATAATCACCAACTAAGAATGATAAACTACTGCAAAAATAGGTTCAAGAATCTGTCAGTAAAAAACTTTCTCTAATTTTAGATTATAAAACTAGATGGAGTAATTTATTAAGCTTGCTGAAGAGATTTTTAAAACTTAAAAATGCTGTTCTAAAAAGTCTGATAGATTTAAAAATGGACATAAATTTAAATGATAGTGAAGTAAAACTACTTTCGAATATTATATTCAGCTTTCAATCTGTTAAGTTGGCTGTTAAAACACTCTGTGCTGAAAAGGTTAACTTGTATGTAGCTGATCTAACATTAAAATTTATGCTAGATGAAATAAGTAACCAAAACACTTTTTTAAGCATTGTACTAAAATAACAAAATAATATGTTGTATTTAAAAGAGAAGATCAGAATTGAGGTTGTTTTCAGGCGTTTTACACTATATAACTGACCCTAATGTGGTTCTTTCTATTAAAGACAATTTCAGTATTTTTAATATTTGCAGTAAAGCCGCAATTTTTAAAAGTATTGTTGACATTACATCTTGTACAAAATGCAAAATCTGGCAATAGCAGCCCAAGACATTTAAATGATTAATCGGATTCAGATTTGAATAACAACCACATTACTGTTGAACCACATTACTGCTGAAATAAATGCTGAACGACCTCATTACTGTTGAAATAAATGCTGAACAACCACATTACTGTTAAAATAAATGCTGAACAACCTCATTACTGTTGAAATAAATGCTGAATGACCACATTACTGTTGAAATAAATGCTGAACAACCACGTTACTGTTGAAATAAATGCTGAACGACCTCATTACTGTTAAGATAAATGCTGATTTTCTATGAGGAAAAAACTTCATCTTTTTGTTAAAAAAACAAACAGACAAAAATCGAGGCTGTCTTAGAAGAAAGTAAGAATAAAGATCTAAAATAAGTTATAAAATGATCTTCTTTCAAAACAATGCATTTGCCCCCCCCCCCTTTCCTCTCTCCCCAGAATTTATAAAAAAATCTCAATATCAATATTCAGGTTAACACAATTTAATAAACAACCAGAGCCCTACCCTACTCTTAAATAGATAAATTTTTGGTTATTTAATAATCATTTCTCCAGCAAGTGTTGAACCTGAAAGAGTATTTTTGGGAGATTGACTAATTTGTACTAAAATTAGATCATGGTTTGAAGACAAGATATTGAATAGTTAAAGCTTTTTACAAAGTTACTTTTAAATAATTCATACTACTCCTATGATAGAAATGATTGAAATTAGGGAGCTAATTTTGATATATAAAGATTATCTGGACAGTTTAAAAGTTTTCCTGCTAATCCTATAAAATCTTTTTTGAAAAAGATTGAATTTACTCCTGGAAAAATTATTGTTAAATAAATTTTACCAAAAGTTTTATTTATGGAAAATCCAAAAAATTTTCAGAATCAAAAACAATCTTCCATACTTAGGAAATGCTGTACCTAGTGACAATACACAATGGAAATGAGCTACTACATGTAGGTTATGTATACATGTAGGTTATGTTACATGTAGGTAATGTAGATGTAAATGATATAAATGTAGTAGATGTAAAATATTTTTAATACTCATTCTTTTAAGCAGCAAGGATTGGTGATTATTATTTCAAGTATTATTCAACAGCTTTTTATCTGTTCAATCAGATACATCAAAATCTCTACTAAAAAAACTGAGATATATAAACTAAAAATATAATCTCATGAACTATTAGCTAAAATTATACTGGTTAAAACGTTTAAGGTGAGAAAATATATAAAACCAGTGGCTCATAACATAGGTGTGAATAAGTTAATTTTCCTCCATACATTTTTGCTAATCAGCTAAGAATTTTATTTACTGCAAAACAGTGTAACAAGTATAACAATATAAAGTTGTCGTTACAACCCTCTCTCAACTCTATAACTCCAAAACACAAACCTTGACAAACAAGGTTGCTGAGAATCAAGTTGAGCGCTGTACTACCAGGGATGTGGTATGGATCAAACTTGAAACCTCTCGTTTCTGAAGCAAGCACTCTGCCACTACATCACTATGCATTTTTGCTCTACCACATCAAATTGGAGTGGCAGTAAAGCACTTGCTTCATAAGCGTGAGATATGGAGTTCAAGCCCATTGGGTTCCTGAAAGTAACATGCTCAACTTTTTTCTTTGTACAAAAAAGATGTTGAAGAGTTACTCTACTTACGGCAGTTTAAAGTTGCACTCTGAGTTTTTTATTAAAAAACTTTTACTATTTCACATGTTTATTTTTTCATATTACTTTTACAATAGCTATAATATTTTTTTACTATTTTTTATTATTCCTTTTCAGCTCAATGTGACCTGCTCTCACAAATTGAAAAGTGTGTTATTGTTCCCATAAATATTCTTCAGAATGCAACTTTTGATATAGTTTTCATGCTGCAGAATATGGACTTTAAATGTATTGATACATCTGCACTAAACATCAACAACAACATTGATACATCAGTTCTGTCTTTACAATTAGAATTAGACTTTGGTGATGATACTTCAAAAGTGGGTTTCAAGAATTGCGTAAACAGTTCAAATGAGTATACATTTAGTCATAGGTTGGTATTTTAAAAATATGAGTTACGTAATAGTGAATTCAGATCCCAATATAGATCTAAAAATAACTTGCACTCTGTGTACAATCTTGATTATTACACTCTGAGTACAATAGATAAACATGAACTGATTTGACCCTCTTTATCGTTTTTTTTTTTTTGACAGATTATCTGTCACTTTTATATATCACGATTGTATTCAAAATCTTATTCAGACATATAATATTGTATATAATCATAAGACTGATCAGATCTTATAAATCCTGATTTTGAAACTCTCTTTATAAACCCACCTATAACTTACCTCACTTTAATGTAAAAATTTTAATGCATATTTCAATCTAAACATAATTTATTATAGTTATTATAGTTTATTCAAATAATTTTTTTCTATATTTAAGCTTTAAAGATTGTGGAAATTATACTATAAAATACATAATCAAATCTTGTAATGCAATGGGATCATTTATTAATGTTGAGATAATCAATTATGTGAAAGTAACTGTATTTTGTTTAATGTCCCCAATTAAAATGGTAACAGATCTAATTTCAGACTTAAATCAAAATTTTGTTCTGCCTCTGAATAAAGAATTGAGTTTGTTGATAAGTCAAGATTTAGGTTCTTATATCAAATATGCAATAGATTGGGGAGATAGTGTAGTTCAGTTGATTGATCAATCACAAAATAAAAATCCTTTACCATTTGTTCTCTCGCATACATATAAAAATGCTGGAAATTACACAGCAGTTTTGGAGGCCAACAATACATTGCAAGTAACTAATATTAAAATTTTTGTTAAAATACTAAATTGTTCTTTTCCAAAAGTTACCTTTCAATATGGTAGCAAAGATAATCCTTTAAGAATCGTCAATACTAATAAAGATTTTGTAGCAAATGTAGATGAAAGTGACAATGCTTGTTTACCATCAAATATAAGTGTTATTTGGATATTAACTGGAGATAATATAACAAGTAAATCTCAAGGAACTTTATCAAACAATAGAATAGTATACTCTTTAGGAAGCAACTTGGATTTTGGAACTTATATCTTGTCATTATTGTTTACTTACAATATGCTTACCACCATACATGTTTCTTATTTTATGATTGTTAATTTACCCATACTTATTGAGATAGATAATGGTGCATTTCGTACTGTGGCTTACAAGCAAAAACAAAGTGTTAACAATTTTTTTCCAAATTTTACAATTAGCGCACTTGTAAGCTCTGGTGGCAGCCTTCCTACAATAGAACATCAAAGATTAGTATATAAATGGAAATGCCGAGTGAAAAACACATCACTAACTTTAAATAAATTAAATTCACAAAAGGCCATTAATTCAACTTTTGAAAACAGTACTTGTTTTAATGAATCATGGATGGACATAACTGTTGATGGACCAGAGCTTGTATTTAGTACAAAAATGTTTATAGAGGAAGTAACATACCAGTTTCAAGTTATTGGTACAAATCTTGTTGGAAAATATTTACAAAGTAGTTCTTTTATTCAAGAAATTGTATTTAGATCAGGTGACTTACCTAATGGACAGATCAAGTATGTATTTATTTTTTAAGTTGTTTATTTTTATATTATTAGATAAGTAAACTAAAAAAAAGAAAAAAATATTCAAAAATTAAGTTTATCAAAACTTTTTCTCTATTTGTTTTTTATTTATTTTTCTCTATTAGTTTGGTGATTTTTTAAAAAGATTTTATATTTTTGTTTCAAAAGATGCTTTTAATTTCAGCTGTATTACAAACTGTGCTGCAAAGTTAAACACAAAAGAAAAAACTGTTTTTATGTTTTCAAGTTTAAAGATAATTGGGTAAGTTTTTTTTTATATTTTGTTATCTTCAAGTTTTTTAATTATAAAATAAACAAATACATAATTATTAATATAATAAATGTAAACTCCTAAACTTAGTTCTGACCTTAAACATTATGATCACTAATATTTTTTGAATTAATTTTAATTTAATTACTTTTGTTAACAACTTAGGATATCTTTTACTTGGGAAGTCTTAAATGATTATGATGAATGGCCTAAAGAATTACAACACAAAAATTCAACTGCAACTGGGTTTTCAGGTTCCTATCTTGTGATCAATCCTGATACTTTGTTGATTTCTAAAAATTACTATTTTGTATTAACAGTTGGATACGTTGGATCATCTAACAAAGCTTCATTTAAAATAAAAAAACAAACATCATCAGTACCTATTCCAGGATCTTGTTTTGTAAGGTAAAATTAAAAAAAATTTCCCGTTACAAAAATATAATAGAGCATATTTATATATATATATATATATATATATATATATATATATATATATATATATATATATATATAAAATTAAAAAAATAGTAAAATTAAAAAAAATTTCCAGTTACAAAAATATAATAGAGCATATTTATATATATATATATATATATATATATATATATATATATATATATATATATAAAATTAAAAAAATAGTAAAGTTAAAAAAAATTTCCAGTTACAAAAATATAATAGAGCATATTTATATATATATATATATATATATATATATATATATATATATATATATATATATATATATATATATATATATATAAAATTAAAAAAATAGTAAAATTAAAAAAAATTACCAGTTACAAAAATATAATAGAGCATATTTTTATATATATATATATATATATATATATATATATATATATATATATATTCAGTATATAGTATATAATAAATATATATATATTCAGTATATAGTATATAATAAATATATATATATTCAGTATATAATATATATATATATATATATATATATATATATATATATATATATATATATATATCAGTATATAAAATATTTATATATATTATATATATTATATATATATATATATTATATATATATATATATATATGTATATATATATATATATATATATATATATATATATATATATATAATATATATATATATATATATTTAGTATATAATATATACATATATATATATATATATATATATATATATATATATATATATATATATATATATATATATATATATATTCAGTATATAATATGTAGTATGTATATATATATTCAGTATATAATATATATATATATATATATATATATATATATATATATATATATATATATATATATATATATATATATATATATATTATATATATTCAGTATATAATATGTAATATGTATATATATATTCAGTATATAATATATATATATATATATATATATATATATATATATATATATATATATATATATATATATATATTATATACTGAATATATATATACATATTACATATTATATACTGAATATATATAATATATATATATATATATATATATATATATATATATATATATATATATATATATATGTATATATTATATACTAAATATATATATATATTTAGTGTTGCCTTGTAGGATATGCCTTTTTAGGCAAAGGATAAGAGATGCAAACTTCGACATAAAATACTCATCTTGGGCAGATGTTAAATGCATCCGGCTGCTGTCTTGTAGAAGGCCTTCTAGGCAAAGACTTAAGGGGTAAACAGAATCTATCTGTTGACCAGCGTCGCACCCCTTCTTCATCTATTAGGCTGGCGCAGATGTATTTTTAATACATTGTTTCCAGTTTAGGATGTTAAACGCTGGATCTTCTTGACTCGATGCATGGGTTTTGCTTGTATCTCTGTTTTTATGACTAGGCAACTCATTCTATTATCTCCAAATGAGGGTACAGCTCTAAAACTCAGTTTTATGGTTCTGAGGCCGGCTGGTAGTCAGGTTTCCTGAACTCTGTGGTAGCTCTTAGAGAGGCTGATTCCATCAACAGCTGAAAAATATCAGAGTACTAACAGTGCCATGTTGCGCATGGATGGTGTCCCTGTTTGTACTTTTGGTGTGCATTGCCAAGGCCACATTGGAGCCCTTTGTTACGGCTTAGGGTTTATTAGTGGAAATGAGGCAATTGCTTGAGCTATAAAACAGTTTACTGAGTACTATCTATGTTTCGAGTCAAGTTAAATAACAAATTTAAAAATGAATAAAGTAACAAAAACTATAAAAGACAAAAAACCACAGTCATCACCAAGTTCGCTAAACCTATCATTCACCAATATTTGTGGTCTTCGAAGTAACTTTTCTTCTGTTGAGTCTTATCTCTTGCAAAGTTCACCAGACCAACTTGCACTTTGTGAGACTAATTTGAGTTCAGCTGTCTCATCTTGTGATCTTAGTGTTGATGGTTATCTTCCTTTAATTCGTAAAGACTCCAATAGTCACATGCTTGGCCTGGACATTTAAATTCGTTAGAATTCACCCATTTGTCGGGAAACTAGGTTTGAATCCACAGACTACTCTTTTATGTGCTTTCACTCTATCATCTTTTCTCTTTGTTCTATATCGCTCTCCCTCATTTCTCTACATTTACCCTTAGGTGCCTCTGATCACAATTTGATCTCTCTAAAACTATTATCTCATTCTTCTTTATCATCAGAATCCCCCTACCATCGTACATCTTACAACTACCTTAAAGCTGACTGGGACTCTTTCCGTGATTTTCTTCGTGATGGCCCTTGGGTAAAAATCTTTTGTCTTCCTGTTGACAAATGTGCTTCTTACATAACTTTGTGGATTCAGGCTAGCATGGAATCCTTTATTCCTTCTCGACGATTCCAGGTCAAGCCTCACTCTTCTCCATCGTTTTCCTCACATTGTGCTGCTGCAATTGCTAATCGAAACCATTACTTCCATATCTATCAGTTCCATATCAAAACAGTTCTTCAGAAAACAGACGTCTGTTTATTACTGCTAGGAACCATTGTAAAAAGGTTTTGTCTAACGCCAAAGCCCGCTATTCTCAGATCATGAAATCTCATATTTCATCACAAAATTTAGGCTCTCGTGACTTCTGGAGAATCTTTAATAGTATCAATAATAAGGGCAAGTCTGATATTCCACTGCTTTTGTATGGTTCAGACTTTGTCACCTCACCTAAAGACAAAGCTGAATTGTTTGCCAAGAACTTTTCATCAATATCATCTCTTGATGCCACTAGTCGTGTTCTACCTGATATAGCTGTCAAACAGGTTGATCTATTGCTCGACATTCGTATCACTCCAGCTTCTGTACCTAAAGTGATTTCCAGCTTAGACTCTTCTACAGCTTGCGGCCCGGACAACATACCTGTTATAGTCTTGCAGAGGTGTTCTCCGGAGCTGTTGTCTATCCTTTCAAAACTATTTAATAAGTGCTTATCAGCGTCTTGTTTTCAAGCATGCTGGAAAGCAGCATCTGTTACCCCTAAATTTTGAAAATTCTGGAGAACGATCCGTTTCGTCTAACTACTGTCCCATTAGTTTTCTTCCTATCATAAGCAAGGTTTTTGAATCTTTAATTAAAAAACACTTCATCTCTCATCTCGAATCTCATAACCTACTTTCTGATCATCAATATGGATTTCGATCTTCTCGTTCTACAGCTGATTTACCTTTCAATCCTCTTGTTCTACGACTGATTTTCATATCAGTCAGTTTTATCACACATTAGATAAAGGTGGAGACGTTAAAGCTATTGCTTTTGACATTTCTAAAGCGTTTGATAAAGTTTGGCATACTGGTCTTCTCCATAAGCTTTCTTCTTACGGTGTATCTGGAAACATCTTTAAGATTATTGAATCCTTCCTTTCCAATTGTAGTATAAAAGTTATTCTTGATGGACAGCACTCTTCTTCTTATTCTGTAACCTCGGGGGTTCCCCAAGGTTCAATCCTTGGCCCTATACTCTTTTTAATTTACATTAACAATCTTCCAGATATTCTCACATCTAAGGTGGCATTGTTCACTGATGATACTACCATTTATTCTAGTCACGATAAGAAGCCAACTCCCTCTGATTGCTTGTATGGGGCATCTGAGCTTGAAAAGGATCTCACTTATGCTACAGCATGGGGCTCACAGTGGCTGGTGAACTTTAGTTCAGATAAACCTCAATTTTTTTCAGCCAATCGTTATTGCAATAATTTAGACCTTCCTATATTTATGAACGGTAATGTACTCGATGAATCTCCTATCCTTCATCTTCTAGGATTAACTCTTACTTCTGATCTTTTTTGGAAACCTTATACCAAATCTGTTGCAAAATTAGCATCTGCTAAAGTTGCTTCTCTTTATCGATCTTGACACTTTCTTACTTTGGATTCTATTATCTATCTTTACAAATCTCAAATCCAGCCTTGTATGGAATTGGAATGGAATGTTGCCATATCTGGGGCGGATCTTCTAATGATGCCCTTTCTCTTTTAGACAAGGTGCAAAAACGTATTTTAAACTTAGTTGGACCTGCTCTTGCAGCCAACCTTCAACCTCTGTCACATTGTCATAATGTTGCTTCTCTTTCTCTTTTCTACAAATACTATAATGGGCACTGCTCTAAAAAATTCTTGTGTTACTCGTCATTCAATTAAGTCTCATCCTTTTTCTGTTACTGTTCCTAAGTGCTTCAAAAACTCTTACTCGTCTAGTTTTTTTCCTTGAACATCAGTTCTTTGGAATTCGCTTCCTTCATCTTGCTTTCCTGATCCATATAATTTGCAATCTTTTAAGTTGTGTGTCAATTGTTATCTTGCTCTACAATCTTCATCTTTTCTCCTTCAGTATCTTCCAACACTAATTAGTGGATGCTTGCAGCCTTGTTGGAAACGAAGGTGTTAAAAAAAAAAAAAGTTTATATATATATATATATATATATATATATATATATATATATATATATATATATATATATATACATATATATATATATATGTATATATATATATATATGTATATATATATATATATATATATATATATATATATATATATATATATATATATATATATATGTATATATATATATATAGATATATAGATACAGATATAGATATAGATATTGATGTATATAGATATAGATATTGATATTGATATATATCCCTGTGTTAAACCCGATGTCGGGTTAAGTTGGCTGCTGATATCGGATCAATGGAGTTTTTGTCCATACGGACCGAGTCGTTCTGACATCGGCTAGCTGCTGAAACTGTCGTGATGCATCAGCTGGCCCATGTTGAGCCGACGCAATTCAAATCATTGGCTGGCCGATCTTGGCCGATACGATTCCGTTTGGACAAAAACAATGGCGGTCCAATGTTGGCAGCCAAGCTAGACCCAA